CTCAACCTAATAAGAGGTTAAATGATCATCACAGATCATCTAGGAACTCAACGAGCTTGTTCAATTATTGAAAGATCATCATATATCATCTTATATTTTTCTAGAAAATTGCAAGCAATTCCATCTCTCTATTTAAGGATTGAATCATATTTATAATTCTGATTCTTGACTCTTATATATTAGTTAGCTATGAAGGTTCTAATATGGCTACCGTGATATATAATGGTTTAATACCATATATGAAGATAACATTCACATTCACATGGTGTTTCAACTTTGTTGCCTCATATGTTTATTTCCTATTGTTCGATACTTGGAGAGACTACATATACATTTTCAAGAGTGTCCCACATTTCTTTGCATAATTACATTTAATGATATAAAGAAAATTATTTTTATTTAAAGACATAACCAAAAGGTTTTTTTCTTCTTTAAAACGAAGTTCAAACTTTCTCTTGTCTTCTTCGGTCTATAGGAAAATAGTTTCATCTACTGCTTCACCATTAACATAGTGAGTAAGGATAAACATACCATTGATTATTATTTTCCAAAATTCTAGATTAATACTTTGAATGAAAATTTTAATTCTAGCATTCCAAATGTCAAACTTATCACCATTAAACGATGGATGCGTGTTTAGAAAATTCCTATTGTTAGAAGATGTGTTGGAAATCATCTTTCTCTTGAGATGATTAATCTTTAAATAGGATTTAGTCTCAAATGTCACTTGTTGGACATGTAATCCCATACACAAGAGGGGGGGGGGGGGGGGGGGGGGGGAGGGGGGTGAATTATGGAGGTTTGAAAAACGTTGGTTAAAAATAACATCATTTGAAAAATAAGAGTTTGAAAATATTTTGAAGCCAAACTAGTAAAAAAGCAAAGGAAAGAAAGCAACTTAAAAGTTAAATATTTAAGGGATATATATATATATATATATATATATATATAGAGAGAGAGAGAGAGAGAGAGAGAGAGAGAGAGAGAGAGAGAGAGAGAGAGAGAATTATACACGTTCAACCTAAATTGACCTACTCTTGCCCCCAATGATTATTCTTGATAGTGTCCATTAATCTTGATATATTTTAGAAGGATGTCTCCACGAAATTCTTTATGCAAGAAAATATAGTTTCAAAGACTAACTTCCAACCAAACAACAAACAAGGTTTAAAGTGGTTATTCTCGAAGCCAAATAAAGATTTTCCATGGGCTTTTCTTGAACCAAGATGGAGTTTTGAGTTGGCTATCTGATCGTAAAAATAGCAAGTGTATTACTTTCACTAATGTAGTAATAATGAGATTTTCCCAAAAGTATCGATCTCGAAGACTACATAGAAAATACTGAGTTTTATTATTAATTCAATCAAACAAAAATAATAGTTTTGGGTTTGATTGGAATAAATCCTTGTGAAAGATAAATGACTGAATGTAAAATGTGACTTTTTCTGTTTGATTAAAAGATGCTAGGGGTGAGTGTATGATTTGCCATGAAATAACCTTCACTCTTTGATCTTTTCAACAAGTTCATCAACCTCAATTATCGATTCTTGAGATTATCTTTCCCTAAGTCCTTAGTGAAAAACCTTTAACTTTCTACCCTAATTTCAATGTCCATTCAAATTAGTTTTGAGGTTAAGCATTCAATTATCAAGAATTATTCTGGTTATCATAGGATTGCCCTAGTCCTAGGTAAAATCATCTATAATATCATTATTTAGAAAACCTTAACACAATCATTCAGTTCTAATGTGTTAATAACAGTGAAACCTTATGGTCTCATAGGGTAAAACTATAAATTCTTCTAAATAATCAAATTGATGCATAAAAATTGTTATGTTGAATAAAACAAAGAGATCAATATTCTTAACATTGCAAATCAGGGACACCCCCTAGCATTGGGGGGTTTAGTCGTACATAATATTCAAAGAAATTTCAATAAAAATAAAGATAAACATTACACAAATTGATGGTGAACTCTGATCTTCAATTGCTTCCGCTCATGAAAGGTCTCCGTTCTCCCAAAACTTGCATAGACTTCAATCTTCTATCATGAAATTATTCACTTTGGTTCAACAGTTCCCTTTAATTCTTCTTACAAACAAGTTTTTATAGTACTCGGTCATCCGTTAGCAATCCACAATGTCCAAAGTACCCTTAATGCTAAAAAAATACCTAAAATCTCAAAATTGGAATTTTTGGCGCCTGGGCTGACACGGGCTGTGTCACCAGACACATGCACCCGTGTCAGCGTCTGTGATATGCTCTTTTCCAACATTTAGCTCAACCGAATTGACACGGGCCGTGTCGTGTGACACGGGCGCCCGTGTCGCCTTCTGTCTCGCTTCTAACTTGCTATTTTTTCAAGTCTTCCCCCCTGACACGACCTGTGTCAGGTGACACGGCCACCCGTGTCAGAGCTCCTGAAGCACTTCTTCTAGAACTCTGAATTCTGCACTTTTTTACCCCGATTTGTCCTGTTTTATTCTTTTGAACCTGAAAACACTAAAATACAAAACTAAAGCATAAAATATGGTAAAATGAAATAAAACACCAGTCAATTAAAAGAAACGATAACTAAAATAAATGCACAATTCCCGTGTAAAAACCACTGATCAATATCCTTCAAATTGAGATGGAGTTTTAAGTTGGCTATCCTCCAAACTAAACCAGGATTTATCATTGGTTGATCTCCGAACCGAGATAGGACTTTATATAAATTAATCTTTAACAAATTTAGCTTTTACACATGTTAAACTCAGGAACCAATGTGATATTTTATACAAGCTAATCTCAAACCAATAGAGCTTTTAATTGATATGAGGTCAATAACCACTGCAAAGATTTTACTGGTTGATCTTCACAAATCAAACAAGAGCTTTTCTTCTTGGTGAAACTCACAAACCAAATTGAGACTTCCTAAGACTATCTCCCAAGAACAAATAAGAGATTTTACTCGTTTAGCTCGAAACCAAACAACTTCTTATGCAAGAATATTTTACTCAAGAGCTAATATAGTTTTAGTAAATTACAATTAAGCCTTTATCCAGAATAATGATCCTCAGTTAGACACAAAAGTACTCTCGAATCATTAAGGTAAAATATATGTGAAAAAATAAGAGATTTATAGAAAATGAGAGAGTATGAAAAAGTGAGATAAAAACTTAGTTTCTGGATGTTTTAAAATAATAGAGAAGCTCCGTGCTTATGGGCCAAATTGGGATTTAAGTTTGGACCAATCCATGGCCAAAATGAATTCCATAATCAATTAGGCTAATCAATTATTGACCCCTAATAACCGATTATTCAAGCCACAAATGGAAGACTTTGATAGTCAATTGTTACCAATCATTAAGAGAATGTCTCAATCGATTTTAGAATCAACCAAGAGAAAATAATCGATTAGGTAATTAGGTCTAATTGATTATATAATAGTAAAAAGTCTTCTAATCAATCAGACACCCTCTTAATTAGTTGGTTAGACCTTAAAAACATTAAAAATATTTTTCAGTTGGTTTGAGTAAAATATGAGAGACTTCTCAAATATTTGTAGCGTGTGAGTGATTTTGCCATAGTATTTTCAAAAATACCTTTGTGCCTTTACAAGACACTGGTCACTTAGATAAACACGATAAACCGATCTTTAACACTTTCTCGCTTTCACAACTCAGAAGCTTCAAGTCTTGACATCATTATATTTAAGTTTAGAATCACATAAAAACCTTGATTCTTCTTAATGAAGTTTGAAACATCTTCTTATTGATTACCATCATCAGAGAATTGATAAGATAAATCAACGCTAAACCTTAAAATAAAAGTCTCCACTTGACTATCATTTGACAATAATGTTGAATTCAAAAGATGACTTGAGCATCAAGAGCATATTTTAAAGACATCTTAACTCAGAAAGATATATTTGATAAAATATCCAAGTATTTTCGACTGCTTGAACTATCTTCCACATACAAAGACTTCATTGGATATAGTTCGATATCAAGTATTGTCATAATATAAACCAAATGACTAAATCAACGGTATTCTTATTATTTAGATCTTGTTAAAAAAATAGTAATAAGCAGGAAAAAAAAAAGAGAAAATTTAAAATTACAATAATTGTGAAACACCTTATCCAAAAATACAATAAATTGTCAAGTTTATTTTTTTCGAAAAACAAAATCAGTGACTTTTATTTATTTTAAAAATTAAATTAAATTTCTCATATTTTCATAGGACCACAACTATAGTAGATAGAAACATGTCTCTCTCACCCACCAAAAAAATGACGTGGATTTTCATTCCACTCTCTTCTGTTTCACTTCACTCCACATTTTTTTTGTCTCTATCCCATTATGTCCCCGTTACTCTCTTTTGTATTTTTCTTCCTTGTTGTCCTTCTAATGGCCCACACCTTCACCTTGTGGTTCTCAATTCCTTTAGACCTTTCTTCTCCTTTCTTTCAATCTCTCTACTCTCAAAATCATCACTCATATCAATATACTTTTACTCCACAACTTCAAAAAACTAATAAGCTGCGGTTCTGTTCCATAGGTCAGTTTTTATTTAGCTTTCAATTCGTCGCGTTAATACAATGTTTCAGTGTTTTATCTTAAGTGATTATTTGGTTGAATTTAGTTTCCTAATCATAGTTTTATATTTCTTAACTTTAGTTTATTGTATGATGAATCTATACTATATTGTTTAGTTTCTACTTGAAATTTTTAGATCTTTCTAGTCATGATGTTTATTGTTCAGTATCTAGCTCTGGATCTTGAAAAGAAGGTTACACACAATTAAGTGTTTATATGTATTTTCAGAATTTGAGTTATCTTTCCTAATTTAGTGTTTATGCATCTAATAATGGAAATTGTTATCAGTTAACTAAACCTAGGGTACTTCTACCTATGCCTGTGTTCATTCTCTTATTATTGTTTTACTGTTACAGAATAGAGATATTTCAAATGCCATGAAAGCTAGGTGTATCTCATTCTTTCTTTGATCTTCTGATGGCACTTACAACGAACAAGGTTTCCAGCGGTCCTATCTTGACTAATAGAACGACACTTTGTAAATCAAATGGAGAACATTATTTTCCCTCATCAGCCAGGATCAACAGAGTACAGTTTTCAAAAGTTAGACTGGAACATAGACATCAGAGCAATGGATTTATGCTCAATGAGAGATCAACCTTATTCAATGACTGGTTTGTTAATGGAAAACCAGTAGGTTTAACCTCCAAGACATCTCCTGTCTCATGTAAATCAACAGGAGCAAATAATACTGAAGAGAAAGAATGTGTTACAACTTCTGAGTAAGAAAAATTAAGATATCGTTGATAATCCAGTTACCATTTAAGTTTCATCCATTTCATTACAATTTTTGTGTTGTTTCCTATCCTTTTCGCAATGACATGTAATTTATCACAATAGAAAATTGAAAGAATCAAACTTACATATTAGAGATCCTTTCACATGTACAAAAGACATGCCGAAGATGGGAAAAATGACCGCGCTCATTCTGTTCGTGGCTTGGCTGAAGCTTATAGATTTGCCTGTAACGATGCAAGGTTTCTCTCGCGGTAATTCCAGCAACCCGATTCGGATTACATGCTAACAATACTGTTCCTGTTTGAGTCCGCCAAAAAAATAATACTATTTCTGTTTGAAATTTACTTTCCCTACCGTTTGAAATTTACTTCCACTATTTCTGTTTCTTCAGGGGCATAATGAGGATGGATGCGCGTGCTCGCCAAGATGTTGCTTTTCTAGGGACAGAATTTCTCAAACTTGATGGTTAGCTCATTTACCTTGTTTAAATAATGTGTTATATTATATTACTTCAATTACTTCCATTACTAGTTTCATCCATTGAAGTAACTATGTGCATGTTTCGGCACTTCATAGAATGTAATACAATTGTAATATCAATAAACACCATTTTGTTCTATCTTTTGATCTAGTTTCTACCGCAAACTTATATGGTCAACTTACATTCTCCTTTATGCTGCATAGCTCGGGCGAGAAAGGATACTGAGAAAATTGACCGTGGTGTGAAGGAAAAAGCTAAGCGCCTTAATCGTATTGCTACTGTATGTATTGCCTATAGTCTTTAATTTTACTGGTTTAATATGAAAGAGTACTTAATCTTTGTTTATATTTTATATGCTCTGCAGATCTTGAAAGATATAGCTGAGTCCAGATTGAAAAGTGCCGCCGATAAGCACTGGAGTGATGGGGCTTTAGAGGTAAATCTGTTAATCTCTAATCTATCAGTTTTGATTTGCAACTGATACTCTTGGTTGGTTTGATGTGTAATCAGTGTTGATATAATTTTCTTCGTGTGATATTTGTGTACTCATTATTTGTTGGAGGCGTGCCCGCTGTTCCCAACACGAAACCCAAACATGTTATTATATTCAATTAATTCATTATCTAAATTTATCACTAGTGTCATCGTGTAAGTGTATGTCTGATAAGAGCCAAACAAAATGGAACAGAAATGAAAAGATGAAACCTGAGATTTATGTAGATAATTTTGGAATATTACAACACAGGTTTTCGAGAGCCTGTCTCTCCACAATTCAAATTCTTCCTAATTTTCCTGAATGGTTTCCTAATTCTGATTTGCTTCTATTTATACTGCATTTAACATCTAATCTTAATTGACACAATTAATCTGAAGGGTTGTGACTGTTAGATTTCATGCTGTTTGGTTCCAAGGGTTGCATCCTTTCGGGTGGGTGTGTCTGTTCACCAAGGGTCACGCCCCCTGATTTGCATCTCTTGACCCTGCACTCTTTGGGCATCGCTGCCTGCGGGTGTAAAACTTGGTGATAGGTGGCCTAGGCTTATCAATACCCCCGCCTAAAAGACTCACCTTGTCCTCAAGGTGATAATCTGGGAAGACCTCTTGTAATTTAGCCACAGATTCCTAACTATTTTCACTTGTAGGGAGATTCTGCCATTTAACTAAGACTTCCACGTTGCCAGGTTGTAATTCACGAATATCTAAAACAGAGTCCGGATAAACCTGTAAATCCTGATCCTCAGATAGCATAGGTGGTAAAGGTTGGGATTGGAAAGAATCCCCAATGGCCTTAAGGAGAGAGACATGAAATACTGGAGGAATTTTACTGTGAGATGGAAGATCCAATTTATAAGCAACAACACCCACTTTTTTTAACACTTGAAAAGGACCATAAAATCGAGAGGAGAGTTTCTCATTAATCCTTTTAGCCAAGGATCTTCTCCTGTAAGGTTGCATCTTTAAGAACGCCCAATCACCAATTTCATATTCTATATCTTGGCGACGTTTATTGGCATTTGTGCGCATGACATCTTGGGACTTCAACAAAAGTCATCCCGAACAATTGTAAGTTTGTTAACTTCTTCAAGGCGGGAAGGAATGGTGGATCCATTAAGAATATGAGGTGGATCATGTTCACACAACGCTTTGAAATGGGACATTCTGCTTGAAGCATTATAATTGGTGTTAAACCAGAATTCTGTCCTGGGAAGACAAGAGACCCATTTCTTAGGCTTAGTACCTGTTAAGCATAGTAAATAAACTTCCAAACATCAATTGACAACTTCCGTTTGTCCATCCGTTTGAGGATGGTATGCCGAACTGAATTTTAATTGTGTACCTGCTGATTTAAAAAGGGCTTTCCAAAAATTGTTAAAAACAAAGGATCGCGATCCGAAACAACGGAAGACGGAAATCCATGCAATCTTACAATTTCCTATAGAAAAACTGCAGCAACATCGGTAGCGGTATAAGGATGCCCTAATGGTATGAAGTGGGCATATTTGGTGAGTCGGTCAACCACCACCATAATTGTATCCTTCCCCATGGATTTGGGTAGTCCTCCAATAAAATCCATCGAAATGTCTGTCCATACTTGAGTAGGAATTGGTAATGGGATTGATAATTAGGTCTTGCATGATTTTCTGTAACTTGACATCTTATTTGACCTCTTCAGCCCATTCCTCGAAATCGTGAATTTGTAAGACTGTCACGGCACAATAGGAACTTCTCCTGGATAGGGCATCGGCGGCAGCAGAGTTTTCCTTCCCTGGTCTATATTGTATTTCAAAATCATATCCTGCTAATTTGGAATCCATTTGTATTGTTCCTCACCTATCATCCTCTGATCCGTAAAAAATATCACTTTTTTGGTCAGTTTTAATAATAAAACGGTTTCCCAACAAGTAGTGTCGCCATTTCTGGACAGCTTTTACGACTGCCATCAATTTGCGATCATACATTGATTTCCTCTGATTCCTTTCTGATAGGGTAGTACTCCAAAAGGCTAGGGATCTTCCTTCTTGCATTAGAACAACCCCTAGTCCGGTTCCGCAAGCATCCGTTTCAACCACAAAAGGCTTTGAAAAGTGTGGGTATTGCTAATGTAGGCAAATTGGTCATGACTTGCTTTAGTTGCTCAAATGCAAGTTGTGCCTCTGAACTCCCATTGGAAGGCATTTTTCTTCAATAGGTTGGTCAATGGCCTTGCTATTCTTCCATAATCATGAACGAACCTCCTATAATAGCCAGTAAGGCCTAGGAATCCCCTTAAGTTGGTGACATCTTTGGGTGAAGACCATAGCGTCATTGCTTCCAACTTCTTAGGATCTGCGGATACTTCTCCAGCAGAAATAACATGTCCCAGATATTCCAAGTTATCTTGGCCAAATGAGCACTTCTTGCCGTTGATCTTTAATTCATTTTGTTGGAGTAACGTTAATACATTTTGCAGATGTTGCTTGTGTTCTTCCATAGAAGGGCTGTATATTAGGATATATCGAAGAATACCAAAATGTATTTTTGGAGTACTGGTCTTAATACTTCATTCATTAATGATTGAAAAGAAGAAGGTGCGTTAGTAAGTCCAAATGGAAGTACCATAAATTCATAATGACCTTCATGTGTTCGGAAAGCAGTTTTTGCAATATCCTCTTCCTTCATTCTGATTTGTTGGTATCCGGATCTTAAATCCAGTTTTGAAAAGATGTTGGCCCCTCTAGTTTAGTCTAACAACTCTTCAATCACTGGGATGAGAAATTTGTCGGGAATAGTGATTTTATTCAAGGCCTTGTAATCTACACAAAACCACCAACTACAGTCTTTCTTTCTGACTAGGATGACAGGACTAGAATAAGGACTCGTAGATAGTCGGATGATTCCCGCTTCTAACATCTCTGCAACCAATTTTTCAATTTCTGTTTTTTGATAGTGAGGATATCTGTATGGTCTTATATTCGGTATTTGGGCTCCTTCTTTGAGGTGAATGGCATGGTCTTGACGCCGATGAGGAGGAAGTCCTGCTGGGGGTTCAAAGATGGAAGGGAGATCATGTAACACACTTTTAATTCTGACGGGATTGAATCCTTCCAATCTATCTCTGCTTGAATATGACGATAATCGATAAGGAACCCTTCTCCTTGCTGCAAAGCTTTCAACATAGAATTAAGGGAGGCGTCTTTCTTTGAAAGTTCTGGTTCTCCCTTTAAAATCACCTTTCTGCCATTAATCTTGAAGCCCAACGTTAGTTGTTCAAAGTTGGCACTAATCTCTCCCAAGCTTGCTAACCGTTCCATGCCTAAAATCACATCCACGCCTCTGAGGCCAAACAAGAAGAACTATTGTTGTAATTGTACTTCTTGCACTTTCAAGGGAACCTTTCTACATACTCCCTTACATTTGATTTTGTGACCATCTCCGACTTCTACAACGTATGATGGAGTGTCTTCCACCTCTAATTGTAATTTTCCCACCAGTTCCTTCGAAATGAAGTTGTGGGTGGCGACGCAGTCTATCAATACTATGGCTTTGTTATCATCAATACTTCCCCAAACCTTCAAGGATCGGTGAGATATCCCACAATACTATTCATGGATAATTGGGGCGTTTCTCCAAATTCTGGTTCGGGCTCCTCTTCGGAGTTTTCAACATCATCTTCATCTATTACTAACATTATCCGAAGTTGTTTATTTCTGCATACATGAGAAGTGCTCCGTTTTTCTTCACAACGAAAACATTCTCCTTTCTTCCTCTTCTCTTGAAGTTCTGCTTCGGTTAACCGTTGAAATTCTCTAGGTCGGTTGCTGTTCTCTGGTTTGTTCACGGATACACTGCCAGCAAAAGAATTAGAAGGGCCACTACTTTTTCCTCCAATTTTTTGACTAACACCATAAGTAACAGTCTTCGAATAGGATGGACTTTGATACGAGTTGTTGAATTTTGAATTTGAGTTAGAAGGAGCATTCGGTTCCACCTTCCAAATTGTTCTATTTTTTTGTTCGATCATTAATGCCTTCTTGACCATGATTGAAAAAGTGGGTGATTCGTAGAGTTTAATTTCTGCCCCAATGTCTTCCTTTAATCCGTTCATAAAAATGTCCTTTAAATGTTCTTCATCGACATTTTTCAGCATACCTGCAAACTTTTCAAATTGTTCAACGTACTCTTCCACCGTTTCTTCTTGTTTAAGTGCAAGGAGGGCAGCAAAATGGTTGAGTGTGGCTGAAGTTTGGAACCTTTCAAGAATGACAAGATTGAAATCTTCCCATGCAATATCAGAATTGCAATTCTCCCACCATTAGAACCAAGATAGCGCCTTTCCCTCTAGAGCCACCATAACTGCCTGGATTTTCTCTTCTTCTAGGATGTCCCTCATTTGAAAGAAGCTTTCCAATTTATTTATCCAGCCATAAGCAACAGATTCTCTATCATATATGGGGATTGCCAATTTTCTCCAACATTCTGTTTTTCTTTCTCCGGTGTGGACCTTGGTTGAATGTTCTCCATTGATGGAACCTTTGGGTGTGCCATCTTCTGAATGCTTGGACAAATTTTCCATCATGGCTTCTAGGCGTGCAAAGCGTGTTTCAAATTGTTGTCGGTCTGTATCTCGGTTTTGTTGGTCTGCCATTAACATTTCCAAAATTCACTCCATTGTATCTGGATTTTCGGAATTAGATCGAGTTGTCACCATAGTTGAAAGCAAAGCATCTGGACGGTGCTCTAATACCAATTGGTAAGGGCCAAACAAAATGGAACAGAAATGAAAAGATGAAAACTGAAATTTATGTAGATAATTTTGGAATATTACAACTGAAATTTATGTAGATAAGTTTGGAATATTACAACAGGTTTTCGAGAGCCTGTCTCTCCACAATTCAAATTCTTCCTAATTTTCCTGAATGGTTTCCCCTAATTCTGATTTGCTTCTATTTATACTGCATTTAACATCTGTTCTTAATTGGCACAATTAATCTGAAGGGTTGTGACTGGATTTCATACTGTTTGTATTAGAAAGAAGAATAGAGAAGAGAAGAGTTTTTCATTTGTAACAAAATTCTGTTTTTCAGTTCATTACAAAAGGCTCCTTGATGCTTTATATACAACATCAAGGGTAACCTAAGTTTGTGTATAAGCTCCAAGAATTTGGTGGAAGCCAAGGGCTTGGTCAACACATCAGCAAGCTGATCAGCGCCAGGAATGTGCAGCACCTGAATTTGTTTGGCCAGAACCTTTTCCCTCACAAAAAATAGATCAATCTCCATATGCTTAGTTCTGGAATGCAAAACAAGATTATGAGCTAATAGGACAGCTGACTGATTATCACACAGTATGATGGGAGACTTGGTTTAAATACACAGTTCCTGCAACAGTGTCTATATCCAAAGAAGGTCAGCGGTTGCTTAAGCTAAACTTCTGTATTCAGATTCAGTGCTGGACCTAGCAACAACAGGTTGCTTCTTCGACCACCAGGCAACTAAATTAGCTCCAAAGAAAATAGCAGCACCAAATGTACTTCTTCTGTCATCTGGATCTGAAGCCCAATCAGCATCACAGTAGACATGAAGAGAGGGAACAACCTGAGGGGAAAGAGGAGTGAGAGATAAACCATGATTTAGAGGACCTTTCAAATATCTGAGAATCCTTTTGACAGCTTGCCAGTGAGAATCAAGAGGATGTGACATAAACTTACATATTTTATTAACAGCATAGGTCAAATCTGGTCTGGTGATGGTGGCATACTGCAAGGCACCAACCACAGATCTCTACAGAAAAGGATCAGAAAAGGCTGCAGACCCAGTTTTGGTGAGTTTGCAGGTGGACTGCATGGGAGTGCTAACAGAGCTGGTTTCCAACATGTTAGTTTTCTGCAGCAAATCTCTGAGATACTTAGTTTGAGTGAGGAGCATAGAACAATTAGCTGACTGCTTGACCTCAATGCCCAGAAAATAGTCAAGGTCCCCAAGGTGCTTGAGAGAGAAAGCAGAATTAAGCTTGTGAATTACCTCATTGAGAAGAGCAGTAGAGATGCCTGTGAGGATAATATCATCTACATAAACAAGTAGATAAAGAGAGTGTCCTTTTGAGAAGTAGGTGAAGAGAGAGGGGTCACACTTGCTGGCTTTAAAGTCGAGCTTGAGAAGAGTTGATTGCAGTCTCTCAAAGCCTTGTTGAGTTTACACACCAGAGAGGAGTCAGAGTGAACAAACCCTGGAGGCTGTTCCATGTAAACTTCCTCAGCAAGGAGTCCATTAAGAAAGACATTATTTACATTCAACTGCTGAATAGACCACCTGTGGGTAATGGCAATAGTGAGAATAACCCTGATAGTAACAGGCTTTACAACAGGTGAAAAGGTTTCAGTAAAATCTAGCCCATGCCTCTGATGAAAACCTTTGGCTACCAACCTGGCCTTGTATCTGTTGATGGTGCCATCAGGATTTTCCTTGAGCCTAAATACCCACTTGCAGCCAATAACATTCTTGTTAGGGGGTAAAGGCACAAGAGACCATGTGACATTCTTCTGTAAGGCATCAAATTCATCTTGCATGGCTGCCTTCCAATGCACATCAACAAGCGCCTGTTTAACAGATTTAGGCTCAGAGTGAGTAAGAAGCACCCTAGGATTTAGTCTAGGCTGAGAGAATCCAGATTTGGCCCTAGTTATCATAGGATGAGAGTTTTGAGGGATAACAGACACAGGAATAGCATTAGGGGGTACATGTGGTGCAGAAGCAGTGTCTGAAGATGAGCTGAATAAAGGGTCAGCTGGACTAGAGAAAGATGAGAGTGTCCCTGAGGAGTTGTTGGCAGCAGTAGGTGAAGAAGCTGCAAAACTACCAGCTGGTGATGAATCCTTAGGGCTAGAAGGGACAGAGGTGGGAGCATGAACAAATGAGGTAGTAGGAGAGACAGGATGGAGAGCATTTGAAGAATTAGGGATAAGAGATTGGGAAGAAGTGATGTGAGGAGTAAGAGCACTCAAAAGGGGACTAGAGTAATGGGGTGCCAAGGATGTACTGGGGTGCCAAGGATGTACTGGGGCTGGAAATATCACTGGGTCTGGAAGAAAATAAATCTAGATATGGAAACCTAGACTCATTAAATAGAACATCCTTTGAGATGTATAACCTGTCAGTAGGAGCCAGACACCTATAGCCTTTGTGAGAGGTGGAATATCCAAGAAAGAGGCATTCTTGAGATCTGAAGTTAAGTTTCTGAGAAAGATAAGGTCTCAAGAGAGGAAAGCAAGCACACCCAAAGACTTTCAGAAACTTGTAATCAGGCTACTGATGGAATAAAAGAGTGTAAGGAACCTCAAAATGAATGGAAGCAGATGGCAGCCTGTTAATAAGATATACAGCAGTGGAGAAGGCATAGTCCCAATATGTTAGGGGAAGGGAAGCATGACTAAGCAAAGTAAGTCCTAAGTCCACTATGTGCCTGTGTTTTCTTTCAATGACACCATTCTGATGGTGTGTATGTGGACAGATAATACGATGGTTAATACCCATCTCAGTTAGATATTTAGTAAATGGCCTGAATTCACCCCCCAGTCAGACTGAACAACTTTAATACGTGACTCAAGTTGCAGTTCAACCAATGCTTTAAACTTTTGAAAAACAGAAATGGCTTCAGACTTAGCTTTAAGAAGATAGATCCAAGTAAACTTGGAATAAGCATCCACAAAGGACATGTAATACAAGAAACCAGATGCAGAAGCCTTGGGTGAGGGCCCCCATAGGTCAGTATAAACAAGTTCAAGAGGTTTTGTGTAAACTGTGTGTGAAGTGGGAGCATGTAACCTGTGGGATTTACCCATACAGCAAGCAGAACAGAACATATCACAAGTTTTATTATTGAACTGAACATTACAATTTTGCAAAACAAGCTTGAGAGCATGATTGTTAGGGTGTCCTAACCTAAGATGCCACATGTAAGGCAAACTATTAGAAAGAGAAACAGTATTAGCACTAGGTGCAGCATTATTGGAAGAAAAACTAGAAGAATGCAATAGGGACTTAGCAGGTTGTGACACATCAACAGAGGGAAACTCATAGAGTCCATCAGCTCCTACATGACTTTCAAGAAGAGTGGCATCAGACACCTGACATTTAACAAGACACTTGTCAGCTGAGAATAAAAAGTACACATGGTTATCCTTAGAAAACTGACTGACACTAAGCAGATTCTTAGTGATAGCAGGAACATGAAGTAAGTTCTTGAGAGTGAGGTGTGTGGTAGGATGAAAAGGGGAAGGAAAAGAGCTTGAACCAGCAGACTGAATAGTCAAACCTTGTCCATTACCAATGTAAATTTGATCATGGCCTTCAAAGGGAGTCACATGTTGTAATTTCTTTGCATCACTAGTGACATGGTATGAGGCGCCAAAATCAGGAAACCAGGTGCCAGATGGAGATGGGGAAACATTTGCCACAAAGGTGCTTGGAGGTTGTGTAACAGCAGGAGGATAAGAAGGCACAGCAGGGGGCCTGGTCCACACATAAGGAGAGGCTTGAGGTGGTGCTTGTGTGTAATAGGCATGAGCACCCTGCCAATGAGGTTGCACATAGTTTGCACCAGCAGATTGGAACTGATAGTTAAACCTGTGCCAGCACTGCAGGGCAGAATGACCAGGTTTGGAGCAGACTTGGCACTGGACATTAGAACTGGAGAATCTGCCACCTCTGCCACGGCCAAACCTACCACCACGATGACCTTTTCCAAACCTGCCATAGCATGAGTTAGGTTGAGAGAAACCAGATCTGGAATTGGTTGCTTCTTGAACTTGTTCAAGCGCAGTTCATGAGCCAATAGCAGAATTTCAACCTCAACAATTTCCATAACTCCAAATTTGCTTTCAACAACAGACACAACCGGAGCAAATTCAGCAGGCAAGCCCTCAAGAATCACATCAATATGATGTGACACAGGAATTGGATCACCAATGGATGCAAGCCCATCAACAATGGTATGAATCTTCATCAAATAGTCTTGAACAGAAAGAGTATCAAGTGTAAGAGCACGCAATTCAACACGCAGGTGGCGTGCCCTAGCACGAGTTTGTTTCTGAAAATAGCTGAAGAGGCGATCCCACAGTTCGTGAGAGTGGTTACAGCCAAGCACGCGTGAGAGAATTTCACTGGAAAGTGTAGATTGAAGCCAGGACAACAGCAATTGGTCCTTCTGAATCCAGCGAGAATACGCTGGATTGACAGAGCCGGAACGACGAGCGGCATCATCAACAAATTTTGCTGGAACACGAGCGCATACCACCAGATCTGTGAGATCATGCGCATTAATGCAAGGTTCTACCTGTTGACGCCAGAGATGGAAGTTCTTTTCATCCAGCTTCTGCGCAATCTTGAGCGAGAAGCGGCGAGAATCATCCACCATCGGCGCCGGAAACGGCGTTGGTTCAGGCGAAACCCTAGTGGAAGACGGAGGCGATGGCGAAGCAATCGAAGCCATGGATCGACTCAGCAATCTGATACCATATTAGAAAGAAGAGTAGAGAAGAGAAGAGTTTTTCATCTGTAACAGAATTCTGTTATTCTGTTTTTCTGTTTTTCAGTTCATTACAAAAGGCTCCTTGATGCTTTATATACAGCATCAAGGATAACCTGCTATTACAGGTTAGGGCACACTGAAACTTACAGTTGCCAGTCAAATACATAAACAGAAATAGGGACTAAGCTACTTATGTATTCAATAGTTTGGTTCCAAGGGTGGGTGTGTCTGTTCACCATGCCCCCTGACCCTGCACTCCTTGGGCATCGCTGGCTGCGGGTGTAAAATTTGGTGATGGGTGGCCTAGGCTTATCAATGTGCTTCATAGTTTATATTTCATATGGATGGCCGGAAAATACAAGATTCCTTTTGATATAATCTTTAAACTTTCAGGCCGATTTACGCCTTGCTGACTTCCGCGCCAAGCAACGTGCCATGGAAGATGCCCTTATGTCCTTGGAGGTGATATTTTATGCTCTTCATCTGTTTACTTTGGAACTTTCTATTTCATAAAAACAAAAGTTTTAGTTTCCAAATAAATAGTTTTGTTCTATTACATAAATATGCAGTTGATCAAAAACATCCATGACATGATGGTGAGCAAGACGTATGACTTGTAAGTCAACTAACTTTGAATGCCTTCTTATACTTACATACATGTAATAAATTCTATAATGTATCATTTGATGTTTGTTGTATATTACTGATAAGTGGGCTACGTGGAGGGAGCAGCCCCCGTAGTACGGTTCAGGGGTAATCTGATAAACTAGATTGTAGCATTCAAACACAAGTTATACTCTATAAACCATAAACTTGATTAATAGAGAAGCCGCTCCCCAGTCGGAGATATAGACACAATTGGTCGAACTCCGCGATAATAAGTCGTGGGTTACTTAGTGTTTTTCGTATGTGTTTTCGTTTGAACCGAGGTTGCTATGCTAACAATGTTGTGGTGCAGTCCTATTTTCAGAGATAAGGGCTCTCTTTCAGAAAATAACGTCGGAGGCCGAATCATGCTTGAAAAGAACGGAAAAACGACAAATTCCTTTTTCGGGGATGTGACAGCAGAACGGATTACTGCTCTTCAGGTCTTTATTCTTCTTCATTTTCTTTTTGCGTTCTGATGAATCAGGAAACATATCAATCATCATATGCTAAGATTATAGTATCTATATAGGAAGCTTACTGGAGTATGGCATCAGCACTTTCTGAAGCAGATGGAATTGATTACACTGATCCTGAAGAGGTTAGATTCACTATGAAGTTTTATTCCTTTACGACAGATATTCGTATTCACTATTTAAGTATTGATATTGCATACGCGTTTCAACTGGGAGCAGCTTGAGCTGTTGATCACAACTCTTATAGACCTCGATGCAATGGATGGCAAACAAAGTGTATCTTTGTTGGCAGAGTGTTCTAGCTCCCCTGATGTTGGGACTAGGTAAGCTTCCATTGACGTTATGATCTTTGAGCAATCATGAATGCAAAGATTTGTTGTTTATATTCATCTTTCGTCCATGTGTGCATGTAAACTTGAAGACGAGCTTTAGCCAAGGCGCTGGCATCCGCACCATCTACGTGGACTCTTGGAAATGCAGGGATGGGAGCATTACAGGTGGGTGATTTGTCATTTTTTTTTCCGTAAAAATGAATATCGGGATGGGGGCTATAAGTTTCATATTTTCCGTTCCGATAATTTGATGCATTTGATTCATGTTGCAGAGGCTGGCAGAGGATAGTAACCCAGCCATTGCAGCTGCAGCATCAAAAGCTATTTATGAACTGAAAAAGCAATGGGAAATAGAAGAAGGGGATAGCTGGAGGTTTATGATGGATGAAAGCAGCAAAGAAGAAAAATGAAAGCTGAGAATCTAATAATTAAGATACCAATTTAAAATTGTATAGCATGAATGCCTCCCTAGGATTCTAACTAGTGTAGTTTTAGTCCGGATTTGGATTCCATGCAGTGGGAAAAACACATTTTCCCTAGTAAACAATCTCGGACGTTAATATGAGATTGAATGGTTTAGATTACACAATAACAAAATCAATTTAGATGATCACGACTATTAATTTAAGATCGGACATTGAGATTGAAAACTGCATTATGCAGTACTGCACCAAATCCAAATCCAAATCCGTATTAAACCATATGATCACCATGGAAAATGTGCTTGTGTAAGATGCCAATATGCTAGTTATATGCTACTTATTGTATGATGAACTTTCCTGCAAATGGTTTGTTGAGACTTTTTTTGCCATCTTTGCCATAAAAATGCATAAAGTAGCCACAAAAATGTAAGACCTAATCTCTTAGACCAAAATTGTGTAGCTAACTTAAATAAGTTAAGTGAATTTCAAGTATGCTAAAAATATGTGAAATGATGTTTTCTATACCACAAACCTGATCCTCTCAAAAATATCCAAAGTAGTACTATATTTTGTAAAACTCTGATAAATTTCAGTTTTTTTTTTTTTGGAAAAAAAGTATATTCCATAAAACTCAGAATTTGAATTTTACAAAATGTTAATTTCTTAAAAAACAATATAAACTTTGATTATTTAAAAATGTATTTTATATTAAGCAAAATTGGAGATGTGTACAGAAGAAGACGATGGAAAAATATAAAAGGATATTTTGAGAATTTCAAAAGTATGGATGGATTAAAAAATATTAGTATTAAATACAGAAGCAATTGCTCCACTTCAACGAAAATTTTAAAATATCTTTAAAATTCGGATGAAATTAGAATCTGTATGCACTTTAATTATGTGAAATTTCAAAAATATTCTTAAAATTTGGTAATTGAAATTCAAACATTCATTACCATGTCAAATACAAATAATAAATATGTCTTAATATTAAAATTCAAATGTACCCGATGCCTCCACATGGATAGAACAATGAACACACAAGCAATTTGTTCTAGGGTGTGTTCCAATATTGAAATTCAAATTTATCCATATTATCACATACACAAAACAAATAAGCTATTTGATTTAAGTTTTTTTCTTCCAAATATTGAAATCCAGTTTCACTCATGTTATCACAAACACATAACACATTAGCAATATCATACAAAGAATATAAAATAACATAATTTAACATATATCTTTTTTATCACATACACAAAATACATAAAATGAATACTTGTTAATCTAAATCTAACATGATATTTCATCACCAACAAGTGATGGTTCATGACATTTCATTATCTTTAGAATACTTGCAGTTGATCTTGTAAGGGCCGCAGACACCTCGATTGGATCCTTAGTTGTATAACGATAAACTTTACTCCACATAACATTTACATATGCATCCGTCTTCAACTCAAATTTATTGAACTTAATCTTCCCTTTATTATCAACTGTTGGTGAATGATACTCGGTCTTAACCAGTATTCAATTGTTGATGTAGTGTAAGATATTTTTCAGTTTAAATTTTAAATCTACAAGAGAGGTATTCTCTGTGACTCTAAATTCAAAAGGAGATCTCATGTTGTTGAAGTAAACACATATAATATATCAATATTGATTCATTTTAGAGTGTTTGTGTTAACAACATACGAGACATATTTATATAACTTTTAGATCACTAAGGACCATACAAATACAATCATGTATTAGGGTTTGGTCAAAATATTCAAATATGGATTAACCCCCTTTTGTCATGTACGATAATATATGGTGTGTCTGAAGATTGGAATATGGATTTTCACAAGACCAATTGACAATACTTGTTTTACGACATACAAAAACATCAAAATATTAATTTAAATATGAGTTAATACCTGTTTTGCCTCCTGCCAAATTGGCGGTTTTGGAAAATCTCCCTGTTAAAAAAAGTTTGGATTCTCTCCTTACCTTACGAAGATTTTCCTATTTCGATCTATCAAGAAATTTACTCATCAGTAACCTATTAAATATCATGTAATTTTTACGAATTAATACTTATTGTGCCCCTGCCAAATTGACGATTTATAAAAAACTCTGTCATGTCATTATTATGATGATTGAGTTTCTTGAGGGGTCAAAACAGGAGAATCTTCATATGACAGAGAGAGAATTCAAACTTTTTTATAGGTTTTTTTTCCAAAAATTCTCCATTGTCGGAGGGAAAAATATGTATTAACCCTTTAAATATTTATACAAGTAATGTTAGATATACATTAAAACACATCAAAATATATATGGATTACATCCATGAAAATAACTAACTAATATTACGTTTAAAAATGTATCACCACCTAAATGCGTTGTAAGATAAAAATTAAAATGCATAAAAATGTGTCATCAACTAAACCTACGAGTGGTCCTGCCTTTGAATTTTTTTAATTTGATTCTTTTTCAATATCGCTCAACTTGGAAAACTCTTCTATCCTATCCAAAAAAATATCCGACCATGTTTCCGCTTATTTTGTGGAATAAGATGTCCAGTAGAAGATGTCTGTGGTATAATACATTTTCTTTTCAAATAAACTTGAACAAAAATGTTGTGATTTTGTTTTGGGCCAACCATAAGGCACAACAATTGCGGACCAGATAATGCAAATACCCGCCAAGTCATATGCAGTGTAGGAACGTTATTCTAGGTTAGTCTGCAAGCGATTCAAATCCATGATCCATCCAAAGGCTACTTGTATCCTACACATGAAGATTAACGATAAATTATAATCACTTCATTATATAAAGGTGAAGTGTACAATTTTCCAAGTACAATTCAAAATCAAACTTCATCACTCATTTTACACACACTTACTTGAACGTTGGAGTGTTAACCTTGAAGATTAATCCTCTCTCACTACATCAAAAGCCCAAGTCAATCGTTTCCTCACGCAACCTTTAACATTTACAATTCAATAATATGTCCGTGCATAAAAGCAAACATATCTTCAATGTGTATCCTTTTTGGTAAATATGGTAAAGGTGATGGTTTGCTGATGCGAGCCCCTTTAATAGAATTATTGTTAGATTATGAAATTGGAGAATTTGAATAAAGTGAGTCGACATGTTCAAAATATGAGGAATACCACTTGATTGAATTATCACTAAGTGTTTGTTTGACCTTCTTAAGAGCATCCTTAATTTTTACCAGATTCGTAGGTCATATCAGTGGTTTTTGGATCAAATATTTTTCACAATTTCTCTTTTGATGTGTAATTTCATATTATAATCTACTTTCAAAAATCTCTCTTGAATAACCTCCCATTATGTCATAATAGATATATTCAATTTTCCCTCCTTGATCACACCACCATCATCCTTATCATCATCATCAACATTAAACTAGGGTCTTTTGTAGTGCATGTGTATCTCATCCATACATATTAGTCTATCAAGTTTCATCTTCTACAAAATGAAACAAGCACACATAAGACTTTAGTTCTTCTAAGTGTACAACCACACTTGGAGTTATTTGAACCTATTTTCTTTTCTTGCACAACTTCGTAATAATAAAGTTCAATACATCTCTCTCTCTCTCTCTATCTCTCTCTCTCTCTATCTCTCTCTCTCTCTCTCTCTCTCTCTCTCTCTCTCTCTCTCTCTCTCTCTCTCTCTCTCTCTCTCTCTCTCTCTCTCTCTCTCTCTCTCTCTCTCTCTCTCTCTCTCTCTCTCTCTCTCTCTCTCTCTCTCTCTCTCTCTCTCTCTCTACAAAGGAAAATATTTGGGGAATATCGAATTCGATTCCTAGAAGAAATAACGCTTGACCAGTGCACATGCCTCCGTAGCACGAGCCAGATTAGTCGATTTACTATGTAGGTCGGAAACCGGTGCGAAATCTAAAAAAAGTTCAATCCCTCTCAAGATATATTGTTAAAAAAATATGAATTTAGATTGCTATATTTGTATTTATATTCTAATACTATGATGTTGCAACCAATTGATGTTTGTATATTGATATGCTGATTTTGAATCAATTAATTCAATGATTCCTAACCCTTACACAAATTTCCTTTACTATTTTTCAACCAGTTTTTCAATGTATCATGAGCGAATTCAACTCTTTTAGTTCTAGTATTTCCAAAATATCTAACTTGATCAGACCATGCACAACCAATTTTCTCCATCACTTGATCTAATATAGCGCTTTTAACATATTTCAAGAAATTCAAATATTTCACACAAACCCTTATAAAATGTATGACTAATTCGGCATATAACAATTTTGTAGAAGAATTTATTTTAACGTTTCAGGCATCCATTATGCTTTCCAAAATTTGACTAGGTTTAACCATTTTTCCGTCTTCACCCATGACTTATTTAGTCATTACTACATGATTAATTCTACCTCTCATTTTTTTGTTATATGATACCTACACAGTAAAACATATGATGTAGGAAACATCTTTGCAACTTAATGCTTCAGTGCAACATTGTGATTAGTGACAATCACCCGAGACATGTTTTCTTGGTCTTTCAATAATTTTTGACACACTTCCAAAGCCCATGTACCACTATCGTCTTTTCCACATTTGAAAAATGAAAAGCCAGATGAATAAGTCATCTCTGTAGAAGTAACACAAATAATTTTCAAAAGAGGAAGCATGTACTTGTTGGCCTTATATGTCGAATCCATTATCAACACTGGGAAATATGTTGAACAACATCATGGAATCAGGATGAACCCAAAATATATCTCAAACAATTTTTCCATCCTCACACACTATATATGTAGATACATAATGACCATCATCAAACAATTTCAACAATTGTTGCATTTTAGATCTTGGATCTCTTATCGCCTTGTTATTTTAGTTGTGAACATTGTATACTTGCCTAATATTTGAGAAACTTTCAAGTATTTTCCTTTTCAAAGTTGCAAGTATGTTTTTAGAGTGAACTATGTCCAGTTTCATGTA